CCCGCCTGCTTCCCCGGGGGGCAGCCGACCTCGCAGCCTGGGGTGGGCGTCTCTGGGGAGCTCCATCGGGGAGACCCCGGCACGGTGCCCTTGTCCCTGGCGCGGGGGTCGTGGTGAGGGGGGAGCTCCCCGGGGCAGCAGCGAGGCTTCGGGAGGGGCGTTTGCAAGTGAAGAAGTAAATCTGCGCAACGCTGCTCGCTCAGATTCCTCGAGGGAGGCTGGCCAGGTTCGAGGGGTCGTTTTAGCAATCCCTGCTTTAGGGGAGCCATATTTTCCATCCCTTCAGCCCCCCTGCCCTTGTTTTTCTCTAATTACCAAATAAAAAAGAGACAAACAGCAGGTATAACATTAAGCCCCAGCTCTGCTGCGCGAAAGACGAACCTCTCAGCTAGCCAAGCCGGATTCCCCCGGGTCTGTAACTAGCACTGGCTATTTGTCCTGTGTTGATTATTTTGGGTGACTCCTGGGAATGGCCACGGCCGCGCTATTGGGGACCCAAGTTCTGGTGGCGAAGCCACACACACATCAATGCGCAAATGGCTTCTTCCCCGCGAGCCCCTGGGATGGGCAGGTGGGTCTTCGGGGTCCCTGCCCCACGCCCGGCTGTCCCACGGGGGACACAGCAAGACACGTGTGACAGATGCTCGTCCGGCTGCTCACTGCCTTCCTGGAAGGCCCCAAAATTTGAGGAAAAGGGCTTCCTCCTGCAGAGGGCACTGGGAACTTGGGCTTTTTCTTTCTGGGGAAGATCCCATGGAGTGGGAGCAGCTCCCTCTCACATCCCCATCCTGCCGCCCCTCCGCCTCTGCTCTGCCCAGGTTTTGGGGCATTGGGTATAAACTAGACAAGGCTCTTGGCCTCGCTGGGGGAAAGCAAGGAGCCGTGGAGCTGCTCAGTATGGAAAGCCACCGCCAAGAAGGCAGCCTGCTCCCCGCCCTGCCTAGCCACCCTTGCTCCTTCCTCTCCGCCGGAGCTGTGACGCGATGTCGCCTCCTCTTCGGGTGACATCGAGGTGTGGTTGGGACGGCTTCGCTGCTGGTTTATAAAGCCCAGCTGAGACGTGCTGCCCATCAGCTCTGTTTGTACAGCGCTGAACCATAAATCTCACCTAAATCCCCAATTATTGAGCCTGAAGAGGTTTGGCCGCCTCGACATGGGAGATGCTCACAGCACAGACGGGTACCAATATGAGGGTACAGGCACCCATCCATCACGGTTGGGCATGAAGGGATGAGGATATGGGCATCCATCCATCGCGGGTGGGTGTAATGGGGTGAGGATACAGGCACCCAGCTGTGCTGTGAGCGTCACCACTGCTGAGGATGCCTCCTTGCTCTGAGTTACTCCTCTCCCATTTTGCTTTGGGAGATGTAGCTCCTCCGAAGCGCGTTGCAAAATCCTGTCACTGTAGGTTTCCTGGGGGAAGGAAAAAATATTCTGCATCAGAGCGTCTGATTTTGATATTCTGTCCCAGAAAGGGCTTTTGTTTTGCCAAGTTGGGTTCGTATCACCTTATATTTTGCAGTAACCAAATGACACATTTTGGCCAGCTGTGATGGCATTTCCCATCCCATCACCCTTTCTGGAGAGAAACTGGGGTGAGGTGAATATTTTTTTAGCCAAGGCTGGAGTGAAGCCAAGCTAAAATGATCTCAAAAAGCAAGATGACATTTCTCTTCCATTCAGGCTATCAGATGAGTCTCTGACCTTGCTCTAGCCCTGCAGTAGTCCATATCAGAAGATGACCACGCAGTCCCCAGGGATGCTGGGGACCCCTCCAAGAGGCTGCAGGGTGGCTGAGCCCATCATTGCCCTGGGGGTGAAACACCCCCTCCACACCAGCCCAGCCTTAAGAGGAGGCTGGAGACCCGCGGCCAAGCTCTGCTGCTGTGACAGATGGAAACGGGAAGGGTTTTTTCTTTATGAGATGAGAGAGAAAAAACTAAAAGCCACTTGTGCAATTAAGTACCTTAAATGTGGATTTTATCTTGATGTAATGGGATGGTTATTGCATATAAAAGAAGTGCCAGATGGTTGTTAAAACCACATTTACTAAGCTCTAATAACTATACCTTTGACCTGTAGCCCATCAAGAGCTGCAATCCCTCATTATAAAATAGCTCCGGAGCCCTCGGCCCAGGCGGAGCCCCTGACTGGTCCTTGCTGGGACCTTTGCATGGCAGTGGCACTCGCTGTTCAGAGCAGGACTTGGCCTCATGGTGTGGCTCTCCAGGCACAGGATGCTTTGCCCATCTCTATTGGAACTCCAGTTGGTTGGTGGTGGTGACAAGGAGAGGGATGAGTAGGTGTGAAATAAATCTGCCATCTTGGGGAGAGGGGCCAGGACCCCTCCATGGGGTGCAGGGCAGTGGAGAGTCTCGCACGCCCCAGGGCACAGCTCTCCTCTGCTGCTCTACATGGTGCCAAGGGGCTTGGAGGAGGGAGGATGGAGGATGAAGGGTGGGAGGTGAAGGACAGAGGAAGGAGTGTGGATGATGGAGGATGGAGGATGGAAGATAGAAGATGGAAGGTAGAGGATGGAGGACGGAGGGTGGAGGAAGGCCCTGGGAGCAGCGGGAAGCTGGGTACGGCTCCTTCTCCTCCCCCCGTGGGAGCCCTGCCTCAACACCTTCAGGTGCAGGCGGG